GTTATTCCTGGCTCTGCACTAAGGAATTACCCCTGGCGGTGCTCAGGGGACCATATGGGATGCTGGGAATCGAACCCGAGTTGCCTGTGTGTAAGGCAAACGCCCTACCTGCTGTGCTATTGCTCCAGCCCTGAGACATCACATTTTTGATTACAGATTTTACTAATTAAAGTAGCAGGGCACTGGCAGAAACAAACTTAAAATGAAGTAAAGACTTAGACATAAAACTTAAACTGAGAAACTCCTCAGAGAACCCACAGGGGACAGACTACGTGACTGATCTCAGCATAGACCTCTTGTGTGTGACACTAAAAGCACAACTATAAAACAAAAACAAGAAAATACACGAAACTCTAAAACTACAGAGCAAAAGAAGCTCCACAAACGGAAAAGGCATCCTACTGAAAGGAGAAGGAGAATTTTCAGGACACATATCTAGTTATGGGTCAGTTTCTAAAATATAAGTATAAAAGGAACTCATATAATTCACTGACTTCCCCTCCTCAAAATACTCATTAAAAAATGGGCAGAGGCTTATAAGTTGGGTTATTGCTATCATATGAAATTGCCACTGCAAAATTTCTCTCACATACAGTTAAGAGTTTGCTTATTCACATCCAGTTTTTGTCTTTGTTTTCAAAAACTACCTTGAGATATTTCAAAGATTTCCTAACCCTTCTCCAGTGGCTTCTCAAAATAATTACTGGCTTCTTTATGGCAACTGGAAATAAGTCACTTTTGGGGAAAAAATTACTTTTCCAGAGAACAGAGGTGCAGAGCAACTAAAAAGATGTTTCTCTAATATAAATGACCACATGATACAGGAAGAGATGTGCAACTTATTTTATCATCAGGCAGATGCAAATCAAAGCCAACATTGAGTTACTGCTTCACATTTGTTGAATGCTCATGTGCAAAAAAGAAGGAAAATGTTTTTTGTAAAGATGTAGAGATGAGGGAGCCTTTGTGTGATGTTCGGATTGTAAATGGTATAGCCACTATTGAAAACAACCTAGAGATTCCTCCCCAAATTACAGAACTGCAATGTGATCTAGCTGTTCAACTCCTGGGTATAATATACATATGGAAAGAAATCAAGATCTCAAAGAGTTTCCATGTTCAATTGTAGCATAATTTACAATAGCTAAGAGAGGAAAACAGTATGACTATCAGTTTGTAGATAATATAAGTATAGATCCTATGTCACTGTCACTGTCCTCCCGTTGTTCATCCATTTTCTCGAGTGGGCCCAGTAATGTCTCCATTGTGAGACTCACTGTCTTCCCGTTGTTCATCCATTTTCTCCAGCGGGCCCAGTAATGTCTCCATTGTGAAACTTTGTTGTTACTGTGTTTGGAATATTGAATAAGTCATGGGGAATTTGCCAGGCTTTGCCGTGTGGGCGAGATACTCTTGGTAGCTTGTTGGGCTCTCCGAGAGGGGCGGAGGAATCGAACTCGGGTTGACCATGTTGGCTGCGTGCAAGGCAAACGCCCTACCCGCTGTGCTATCACGCCAGCCCAGGTCCTATGTAAATATCAAATATATAAGAATGTATAACTATATTTTACATATATTAATATAGCAAAGTAAAATCTATTATACTTAATTATGTATGATTATATATATTTTGCCTCATAAAGCCTTTTAAGGTATCTAAAACCCTTTGAACAGGTATGCACGTTCTGGAGACACTCCATTGTTTCCTCTCCTGGGGAACACCCCACCTCACTCCTTCTCATTGGTACGGATGGTGGGGCATTGCAGGCTGAAGGAAGGAATCTTTGGAATTTCTCTGTGATGCTTTTTTTTCGAGGATGGGTGGGGCAGTATTAAAAAAAATTATTATTGTAGTGTAGGTAACATGTTGCCAGTGGTATGAACGTTACTGATCTAATTTTTAAAAAATTTTAGTCACCATAATTTACAATCCTGCTAATGTGTACAGTGTTCTAACCCCACACCCTCCACCAGAATGTTCTGTTCCCTCCATTGTCTTGGGCCCCCCTTTCAGCCACCTCCCTTCTTCCACTCCCCACCCCAACGTCATGTATTTTTGTTGTTCTCAAAACATGACATTTATAAAGCCACAGATCAGTCACACTTCTCATAGACTCTAGGATTTTTACCATTCTTATTTTAAAAATATTTATATATGGGGGTCAAGTGATATTACAGCAAAGAGGGCACTTGCCTTGCATGCGGATGACCCAGGTTTGATCCCTGGCGCCCCGTATGGTCCCCTGAGCACCACCAGAAGTGATTCCTGAGCACAGAGCCAGGAGTTATCCCCGGGCATCTCTGGGTATGGCCCCAAACAACAACAGAAAAATTAAAAATATTTACTAAGAAATCAATTGATTTGTAAAATGTTAAGTTCTCAAGAACTTTTAATGATCTTTATTTCATATCAAGCAAATATCTGTTGTTGACCCATCATGTTCTGTCACTAGGGATAAAGTAATGTGGACAAAATCCCTGCTTAATGAATTACTTTTCTAATTTTCTTTTTATTCTCCTTGATTTACAATATTGTCTTTATGACAAGGTTTCACACATGGTGTTCCAGCCTCTCACTCTCCACAACCATACTCATGTGCTCTTGATTTGTTTGTTGTCTCTGGTCCACACCTGGCAATGCTCAGGGATCACTTCTCGTGGGGCTCAGGAACCATATGGGGTACCAGGAATCTAATCCAGGTCAGCCACATACAAGGCAAACATCCTACTGCTGTGCTCTCTCTCCAGCCCTGTAATTTTGACCTTGATGCCTAGTTGCCACACCTCATCTTTTTAGAGCTCTGTTTTAATCATCCGGTTCATAATAGTCATTGAAAGTTAGTAGAACCTCTTTTCCAAAATAGCGACAGGGCTGGAGCGATAGCACAGGGGGTAGGGCGTTTGCCTTGCACGCAGCCAACATGGCCGACCCGAGTTCGATTCCTCCGCCCTTCTCGGAGAGCCCAGCAAGCTACCGAGAGTATTCGATATGCCAGACACAGTAACAACAAAGTCTCCAATGGAGACGTTACTGGGCCCGCTCGAGCAAATCGACGATCAACGGGAGGGCCTTTACTTTACTTTACTTTTTACTGTAAGAGTATTTCTGTTGTTGTTGTTGTTACTGTTGTTCTTTTTAGATTTCAGCTGCTGGTGCTTGGGGTCAGCTTTCTCTGTAGTGCTCAGCATTGCATCCAACAGTGCTGAGGGATCATGCAGGTGCCTGGGATCAAACCCGGAACTCCCACGTGCAAAGCATACACTCTGCCTCCTACTGGGAGCCACCTTCTTCATCCCCAGAATTGTTTTGCTGTTTTGTTTTAAAAATTAAATATGAAGAAAATAGTCTAAAACACTTCCCAAATAATCTGTTATTGTAAATGTATCAGGCATTCTTATATAAACTTGAGCTCCTGAGTAACTACCTAAACCAGTGATTCCTAGCATCTGGAAAAAAATTTTTATGAACTTAATCGAATTTAACCAACACTGGAAGTGTTTCAGAAATATCTAAAATAAAACTAGCAAGTATTATCTGTTATAGATGACAGTGTATGTGTATTAAATAAATAATGAGTCAAATTTTCTTGGAGAGAAATAAAAATTTTGGTTTTTTTCCTCTAAGCTTATTCCCCTTAGTTTTTTTGTTTCTTTCTGTTTCTGTATTTAAATTACAGTTTAGATTCTGTATTTTTATTTATGTTGATATATGTGGCTGCCTTGCACACAGCCGACCTGGCTGACCTGAGTTTGATTCCTCCGCCCCTCTCAGAGCCCAGCAAGCTATCGAGAGTATCTCGCCCACACGGCAGAGCCTGGCAAGCTCCCCGTGATGTATTTGATATGCCAAACACAGTAACAACAAGTCTCACAATGTTACTGGGCCCGCTCGAGCAAATAGATGAACAATAGGAAGACAGTGACAGTGATGGTGGTCTTGGTGTACGCACCTTACCTCATAACCACTAGAGTGTCATCAGCCCCCACCTGTGCCCCCGAGTGACCTCCAGTCCTGCTCCACCCTTTACCCCCATCTGGTACTTTCATTTTGTTCTCTGTACCCAGGGTTTGTAGTTGGTTGATATTGTCAGTATCCTTCCTTGTTTTCTTTCCTTCCCTGTAATGCTTTAAAGAGAAAGTATCTCCATTCCTTTGAAAATTTTAACTACACATCACCTCCTCATTTACTCTAGATTATTTAGCTGCAAATCATTTTGTTTCCATTAAAATACATTTAAATAACTTAGAGGTTTTTTTTTTTAGTTTATACTAGTTTTTTGTTAGCAGTCTATCATAAAGTGAGTTGAAAAGAGAGATGGAAGGAGGGACCAGAGTCATAGTGCAGTGGGTAGAGTGTTTGCCTTGCATATGGCTGACCCACGTTGGATCCCTGGCATTCCAAATGGTCCCCCAGGCACCACCAGGAGTAATTTCTGAGTTCAGAGCCAGGAATAATTGTTACGCATCACTGGCCCAAACTGTTCCCTCCGCCCCCTCAAAAAAGGAAAACCAGAAAGAGACCTAGAATATCAGAGTTCTGGTGACTAGAACTAATTTTTTTTTGTGATCTTGAGCATGATTTTTAACCTTCCAGTATTGTTTTTCTCATCTGTTCAGTGAGGATGGTGATGCCTGTCTTACTTACCTCCAAAGGTAAATGAAAATGATATATGATATATAGAAAGAACTTCAAAATGAATATTTTAAAACACATATTATAACATAAAAATCACCTGTGGTCTCTGTATTATATTGAAAACAATTTTAGATATGTTCCGTTAATGGATCTGCCATCACATAATATTTAACACTGGTAAGATTATTAATATGGATAAAAATATCATTGCTCTTCTAAATGAGGAGTGTAGTTAATGACTATCCGGTATGATGACTAATCTGTTGTTTGCAGTTATTTTTAAGTTTTGAATCTAAGGAAAATATACTGTCAAATAGAAATGGCCCTTTAGTAATGCTGCCTCTCTGGTATCTGGTTCCTGTAGGAGTTGATCTGGAGCAGTCAAGAAAAGAAGAAGAACAACAGATGTTGCAAGACGCCCGCCAGTGGCTCAACAGTGGGAAAATAGAGGATGTCAGGCAGGCGCGCTCAGGGGCCACAGCTCTCCACGTGGCTGCTGCCAAGGGCTACTCTGAGGTCCTCAGGTATTGTTCATTAGCATCAAGCAGGAGTTTGATTGATTGGGGCGGGGGAAGATGAATTGGGGGCGAATTAAATTTTCAGCTATGGAATGTTTCTTATTTTGTTGTTGGTTTCCTCGCTGAGCCTATATAGTCTTTTCTAACCTTTTGCTAGAATTCATCCATGGATGGTTTCTCTCCCTTCTACAAACTCTCAGTTACATTTATGATCTACAACAGAGCTGAAATAGACTGACCTAAAAGCTAATTCTTGCAGCTCTGTGATGATCATGAATAGCCCTGCAGTCTCTTCTGGTGGCATAGAATGCAGGGCAAACTTGTGATCATTTTCATCTTCTTTGCACATAGTATCTTTGGACTTTTTGAATTATGTAGATCTTGAGTGTACAGGGCCTAACTAAGTAGGACAGATAATAGGATATTATTCTAATCTCTGTCTCTTTCATTTTTTTATTATTATTATTTTTAGTGAAACACCATGAGGTACAGTTGTAGATTTACAATTTTTTGTGCTTGGGTTTCAATTATACAATGGTCAAATACCCATCCCTCCACCAGTGCCCATTTTCCATCACCATGGATAATATCCCTCCCACCCCCATCCCTCCCATCTCACCCTGCCTCTGTGGCAGGGCAATCCCCTGTGTTCTCTCTCTCCTTTTGGGTGTTGTGGTCTGCAAAAGAGGCTTTGAGTGGCAAACATGTTCAGTCCATAGTCTACTTTCAACATGCATCTCCCCTCCTGGGAAGATCCTCCAAACACCCTTTATTTGGTGCTCCCTTCTCTATCTGAGCTGCCCTTTCCCCTAGAATGCCCGGCCGGCCTCTAAGCTATGGAGTAATCCTCCTGCTGTTGATCTCAGCTATTCTTGGGTATTAATCTCATATTTTGTTTCTTTATATCCCCCAGATGAATGCAATCTTTCTATGTCTATCCCTCTCTTTCTTTTTCTTTTTCTTCTTTTATTAGTGAAGCACCATGAGGTACAGTTGTAGATTTACAAATCTTTGTGCTTGGGTTTCGGTCATACAATGATCAAATACCCATCCCTCCACCAGTGCCCATTTTCCACCACCATAGATAATATCCCCTCCCACCCTGCCTCTGTGGCAGGGCATTCCCTTTTGTTCTCTCTCTCCTTTTGGGTGTTGTGGTCTGCAAAAGAGGCATTGAGTGGCAAACATGTTCAGTCCATAGTCTACTTTCAACATGCATTTCCGCTCCTGGGAGGATCCTCCAACACCCTTTATTTGGTGCTCCCTTCTCTATCTGAACTGCTCTTTCCCCTAGAATAACCGGCTGGCCTCTAAGCTATGGAGTAATCCTCCTGGTGTTGATCTCAGCTATTCTTGGGTATTAATCTCATATTTTGTTGCTTTATATCCCCCAGATGAATGCAATCTTCCTATGTCTATCCCTCTCTTTCTGACTCATTTCGCTTAGCATGATACTTTCCATATTGTACCACTTGTATGTAAATTTCATGACTTCATCTTTTCTAACAGCTACATAGTACTCCATTGTGTAGATGTACCAAAGTTTCTTTAACCAGTCATCTGTTCTTGGGCACTCAGGTTTTTTCCAGATTCTGGCTATTGTAAAGAGTGCTGCAATGAACAAACAAATGCAGATGTCACTTCGACTATACATTTTTGCCTCTCTGGGATATATTCCCAGGAGTGGTATTGCTGGGTCAAATGGGAGCTCAATTTCTAATTTTTTGAGAATCGTCCATACTGTTTTCCAGAAAGGCTGAACCAGTCGACATTCCCACCAACAGTGAAAGAGTGTCCCTTTCTCGCCAATCTGCGCCAGCAAAGGTTGCTTTTGTTCTTTTGGATGTGGGCCAGTCTCTGAGGTGTGAGATGGTATCTCATTGTGGTTTTGATCTGCATCTCCCTGATAATGATGTAGAGCATTTTCTCATGTGCTTTTTTGCCATTTGGATTTCTTCTTTGAGACCCAAAAGTCCATGGCTTTCCTATACGCAAACAGTGAGAGAGAAGAAAGCTACATGAAAAAAACAATCCCATTCACAATTGTTCCCCAGAAAATCAAGTACCTAGGAATCAGCTTAACTAAGGAAGTAAAGGACCTGTACAGAGAAAACTACAAAACGCTACTTCAGGAAATAAAAGAGGACATGAGGAAATGGAAAGATATCCCCTGCTCATGGGTCGGGAGACTTAGCATTGTCAAAATGGCAACACTACCGAAAGCACTGTGTAAATTCAATGCAATCCCTATAAGGATACCCATGACATTCTTCAAATAAATGGAGCAAACATTCCTGAAATTTATATGGAACAATAAGCCCCCACGAATAGCTAAAGCAATTCTTGGGAAAAAGAAAATGGGAGGAATCAACCTCCCTAACTTCAAACTGTATTACAAAGCAGTAATAATTAAAACAGCATGGTACTGGAACAAAGGCAGAACTGCAGACCAGTGGAATAGGGTTGAATACACTGATGTCTCTTTCATTTTTATCCTTATAGTTGTACATGATTTATCTTTGCTGTTTTGCTTTTTGTTTTATTTTGGGGGGGGGGAATCAGTGGAGGGGGGTGGGTGGGCAGTACTTGGTGGCCACTCTGGGTGGTGCTTAGGGAACCATGTGGTTGGTACTCGGGATAAAGCCTGGGGAATTCCAGTATCTAAAGAATGCAGTTTAAGCTTTTTGATCCATCTCCGCATCTCTAAACATGGCTTATGTAGGTTTTGGTACCCAATGTTGGTGGGCCCCCAGTGAATGGGTCCTTAAAAGCACTGTATGTTTAGTTGTTGCTAGACTCTTTCAGTGCTTTATAGTCTACCTAATAGGTATGACAGCATGTGCTGTTCTATTTCCATCTGTGTGACATTCATACTCTCTTCACTTCTTGGAAGATGTCATGGAAACCCATGCAAACGGATCCAGTCCAGTGCAGTAGCGAGGCCCTGGGATGGGGGTTGGGGTTGGGGGTGGTGATATCAGGGGCAGGGGCCAGCAGAGGATATACACTTCATTCTTCATGCAAAACACAGCAAGTTCATAGCTTTATTGGTTATATAAATACCCTACAGATAGTTTTAAAGAGTTGGAATATAAAAGTCTACATGAAGTAGATGATTTTCTAGAAAGACCAGATCAGAAAGCTTTTAAGTAAAATATTGGAAGAAAACCGAGTTATTTTATATGCTATTTTATCTTTCCACTGGAAAATGGAAAGCACATCTTGTAATAGAGCTCTTTGATTCAGATAATTCAGTTAGACTTTGATTAATCTCAGACATCTTTCCTTACACCTTCTTGCGTGGTATAACATGTGTGTTCCTATAGATACCATGTGGTTGTGTGGTATTCAGTGTAATTGGCTTTCCGTGTAGTAGCTATTAAACTGAGCTGTGCACTAGAGGTTGTAGGACCCTTGTGGTTCCGGACCCAAATCTGACTTTATTTGGTGATCGTGTAGTTGGTAGGTAACAGTAATGCAGAGGAAGTAAGTGTCTTGTTTGTGGCTTTTCCCCTAGACTTCTGATTCAGGCTGGTTATGAACTCAATGTTCAGGATCATGATGGCTGGACCCCCCTCCATGCTGCTGCACACTGGGGCGTGAAAGAGGCTTGCTCCATCCTTGCAGAAGCACTCTGTGACATGGACATCAGAAACAAGCTGGTTAGTAAACCCGGCCCTCTGAAGGGACGGTGAGTTGGGTGGGTGAGTCTATAGAAGAAGAGGCTAAAATCTGTTGCTTGGCAAGGCAACAGCTGCCTGGGGATATGGCTCTGCTCATGACCTGGACAGAGATGCTATGTCAAGTAAACTGCACTGTCATGACTTTCAGATTTCATTCATGTTGAAGCCCCTTAAACCAGCTAGAAAAAAAAATTTGCCTTTGGAAAAAATGGACACTAGGGAAGCCTAAGACTTCTATGTTTATGGTAAAATACAAAATATTTTATTTGATGTACTTTAAATCAAGAACTTTTAATAGCAGAACTCATCACTCCTAGTAATTTAAAAATGACAGAAGTTTCTTTCCTTTGAAAATAGTGGGAGTCAACCTCAGTCAAGCCACTCAAGCTCTTTCACATATATACTATATACATTTGCTATTTCCCAGGAATCCTCAGGCATGACTTTTTGCCAGAAAATGGAAACACAGAGACCAGTGATCTTAATGTGCCTCACATCTCTTCTGAACTTAGGTTACATTTTTAAATTATGGACCAGGCCTTGCTGATGTTTCCTTCCTAAGAAAGATGACTTTTCTCTCGCTCATAGGGAGATGACTCCTGTAAACGTAATCTCTAGAGCATATGTGCCACCCACCTCTTTCTGAGATTTGTAAGCCCCTTCTTGAATTTTCATAGCAATTAAGCTCATTTAGAGCGATAGATCAGTGGTAGGGCGTTTGCCTTGCACGTGGCTGACCCAACCGACTGGGGTTCAATTCCTCCACCCCTCTCGGAGAGCCCGGCAAGCTCCCGAGAGAATCTTGCCCACACGGCAAAGCCTAGCAAGCTCCCCGTGATGTATTCAATATGCCAAACACAGTAACAACAAGTCTCACAATGGTGATGTTACTGGGCCCGCTCGAGCAAATCGATGAACAATGGGAGGACAGTGACAGTGACAGAGCTCACAAATAGAGCTTTCTGTTACCATCAATATCATCACGGTTATTGTGACTTCCTCAATAATATTTTATTAAGCATAAAACTATGTGATAAAAATTTTGCCTTTTTTTGGTTTATGTTTTCTTGTAATCGATGAAGGTGTCATAAGGCAGAGTAGATCATTTAGGGAAGCAACTACGTTGTATGGATCAAAAGTTTGAGTGGAATATTGATAGTGCCCCGATAGGGTCAGGTAATCACTTGCTTCTGTTTTCTCTTGGTCATGTTATCCCTCTTTCATTGCTAGGGCCAAACACCATTTGATGTTGCTGATGAGGGTCTTGTAGAACACTTGGAGATGCTCCAGAAGAAGCAGAATGTGGTGAGTTGCCAGTTGATGTTTTGCAAGCTTTTGTAGCAGTCCACACCTGGTGTCTTAATCACTTGCTTTAATTATATCTGCTGAGGGCTAAAGTGGGCATATTTCCATTCCAGAGGTGATAATTGTTCCTTTTAGGAACTACTAATAGTCTTCTAGAAGAAAACATCCCAGAAACTGTCATTTCAAAGTTTCTCATTTCAGTCTCCAGGCAGCTGAAAGCTTAAAACGACAACAAGCTAATAATTACCTATGAGTTTTAGAAAATAAATGTCATAGATTCAAATCGGTTATTTTTTCCCCAATTAGGAACGATGACATCTCACAACATTTCTTACATTATTGACCAAAAGGGCATCTATATTTAAAGTAAATTAATTGTAAAAAGGAATATGTGACTTTCTTAAAAAGCAAACATACCCATAAACTAAAACTGTCACTTGGTGCTGGAATTAGGCTCAGTGGGTGAGTCACACTTCTTCCACATCCAGCAACCATCCCGAATTTAGCCCTCTGCTCCCTCCTCCGTAATCTAAATCTTCTGTTGTTTGGATGCAAGCCATTCCTCTTAGTGCTATGTATAGGAGACTCCTATGAGCACAGCACCCATGTACATAGTGAAGAATGGAGAAAAACCCTTATTATTATAATATAAGAAGTAAATACTTAAGTTTTCTACTTGTAAGGTGGGTCAGTAGGTTGGACATGGAGAATAAAGATGAATTTGTGTTAGGGGTTAGAGAATTTCTTATTTGAATCGGGTGGGAGAGAAAAAAATAACTGGCTTTGGACCTGAGATGTGGTTCAAATAGCAGAGAACATATGTAGTATGTGCGAAGCCCTGGGTCTAATCCCTAGCATGATCCCTGAGTATGGTCATGTGTTGCCCCCACAAAAATCACTAGCTGTGTTGTTTTTGGTTTCTGGGTCACAACCAGTGATGCTCAGGGCTTACTCCTGGCTCTGTGCTCAGGGTGCTCAGGGCTTTCTTCTGGCAGGACTCTCCGAAACTCTATAGGATGCTGGGAATTGAACCCAGGTCAGCCACTTGCAAGGCAGGTACCCTACCTGCTATTACTATCTCTCCAGCTCCTAAGAAAAATCATTAGTTTTGATTTTCCATGTGTGCAGACTAAGAACTATGCTGAGCTGAACTTTAGGACTAATATGAGAAATAGCAGTTGTGAATGAAAGAACTATATATAGTTCAATACCGAGAACAAGCCAGCCATGTCTATATCTAACCTCCTGGGTATATACAGCGTCATGTCTCAACAGGGAAAGTGAAGATACTCCCCAATTCAAGTGGGAAAGTCACCTCTCTGAGCTCAGACAAACATTACCTTCATTTCATTTTCTTCAACAAGCAATGGAACCACCAACCTCTAGAACTTTCTGATAGGGCATCAGTACTATATTTAGCAGTGACAGTCTCCCTGATGACAGATAAACACTTTGCGTGGTTAGAGTTGTGTTTTTCAATTCTAAAATGGTTTTTAGACTCCTGTGGAAGTTGCATAAGTTTGAGTTTAGGGTCTATAAATAAATTTTGTTTAGAGCACATAATTTAAATACAAGTTTTTCTAAGGGCCAATTTCCTTTTGCTGCCTGTTCTTAATTTCTTTTTCTTTAGAACTACTGCCAACTAAATTCATCTATGGATCATAAAGGACTCTTTCAAAGTTTTTATTTTTATGACTGCATGTACCTATGTACCTATACCTAAATATCTATAGCCATAGCTATCACTGTGTCTGTCTGTCCTTCTGTCTTGGTCATACCCAGCAGAGCTGCTTCTATGGTGCATAGGCCAGTGTTGCTTGGGATGATTAGGGCCATACCTGGTGGTTTTGGGATCCAACAGACTGTTCTGGAGAGCGGACTCAGGGCCTTCCCATGCTAGGTGTGTGCTCAGACACAGTAGTTCTGGAGACTACTGGACCACACCTGATGCACCAGGGTCTTCTTGGCACTGCTGGGCAAGCTGTGTGATTCTGGAGCTTAAAACCCTGGCCAGGCGCATGTCAGATGTGCGCCCTCCCCACTGGACTGTCTCCCCAGTCCTGATAGGATGGCTCTTTCATTGCAGCTCGAATACCAGGGTTTTTGGTCTCTCACCGTAGATGGGGATTTTTCTATTTCCTTGTCTCCTAAGGCAATCCGTTTGTGGCTGTTGGCTTTGTCAGTTCTCTCCTCTCCTTCTGGTGGTGGTGCTGTCTGCCTTCTTTGGATGACAGAGCCCTTTCCTGCCTTCCCTTCATGGTGGTTCCTGCCGTGGCAGTGACCAGGGATCACATGCTCACTTGGCTGTGGTGCATACACACTCAGCTGTCTCGGTGTCCGGGGGTTATGTATGTTTTAGTTTAGATGTTCACGTGGATCACACTCGCTTCATTGTCCTACGTGCATGCCTTCTGGCTCTTAGGCTTGCAGGGGGCCACTGTGGTGCTCACATTCGTGGTCCCAGGGGAGTGAACTCCTGGCCAGGCCTGCACATTCTTGAGGTGTAGTGTTGGCTGGGTCCCCCACTTTAGGTGAAGTGCTCGTATACCCCTGGCTGTGGTGGGCAGGAGATTGCACACTCAGTTGCAGCTCTGGGGTCCCAGATAGCAGAGCCACGAGTGCCACTAAGCCCATGTGGGTGGCAATTGAACTCGGGACATCACTTTTCTGAGGTGAGGCCTGTGTTTGTTTGGTTTTGGTTTTGGGGGCCACACTGTGCTCAGGGATTTCTCCAGGGTCTGGGTCAGGGATCACTCCTGGTGGAACTCAGGGGACCAGCTAGGATGCTGGGAGATAGAACCCCGTTGGCCATGTGCAAGGCAAGCACCCTACCCACTGGGCTACTGCTCAGGCCCCTTGAGGCAGGTGCTTTTGACACAAAGTGACCTCCTCAGTCCTAACAGTACCATTTTGAGTTCTTCTCATTGCTGCTGATTTTTACCAAACATGAACTTCTTTTTTTTTTTTTCTCTCTTCAAGCTTCGAAGTGAAAAGGAGACCCGGAATAAGCTCATTGAATCAGACCTGAACAGCAAGTTGCAGAGCGGACTCTTTAAGAAGTAAGATATTTGGGGCTTGAGAAATGTGATGAGCTCTGCTGTGTATGTGTATGCAACATATTTAGCTTGAGAATTTATAGTAAAGAAACTCCAGTTTTAGCCAAATGATCTTCAAACATATGGGGATGCTTGAGGTGTGAGGAGGTGGCATAGATATGTGGGGGAGATTCCGAGGGTAGATGGACACATTTTTAACTTAGACATCAACTGAGACTGCAACATTTCTATTTTTTCTAGTTTAGGGTTAAAAATTAGTTTTTGTTTTATTTAAACAACCTGGTTTACAAAGTGGTTCATAATATAGTTGTTATGAGCATTCAGTGTTCCAACACCAATTCCACCACCAGAGTGACCTTCCCTCCACCATGTCCCCATTTTCCTAGTCACTTCCCACACCTGTCCACTTAGCAAGCACAAAGTTAATTACTCTATGTAGCTTATTGCAACTGAATGGGTAATGGAATTATAAAAAAAAAAAAAGCACTATAGTAAAAGAAAATTTGTGACAATTGTTGGACTGGAGCGATAGCATAGCAGTAGGGCACTTGCCTTGCACGCAGCCAACATGGCCAACCTGAGTTCGATTCCCCTGCCCCTCTCGGAGAGCCCGGCAAGCTACCAAGAGTATCTCGCCTGCACGGCAAAGCGTGGCAAGCTACCCATAGCGTACTCAATATGCCAAACACAGTAACAGTTGTCACAATGGAGATGTTACTGGGCCCGCTCGAGCAAATCGATGAACAACGGGAGGACAGTGACAATTGTTATATCTCACCTTGGGGTCATTGAGTTCTTATGAGAGGGTTTACTAAGCTGTTTGTTATTACTGAGTCTTCTGTTTCATTGTTTTTGTTTATTGAGCTTAGTTGGCTACTGTGTTACTTTCCGATCTCATTTGTGTGCTCCTACTGGGTTGTCAGTATTGTGGATTTTGAAGTGACTGTGGGCTCCAGAAACTCGAGGATCTGTAGAATTGAGCCCATGAGTTTACATGACAGTGGCTGTGGGATGTGGGTGTGGCTGCCAGGGATTCCTGAAGTATGGGGGGGGGGGTGAGGGAAGGGGAGAGATTGCTCACCCCCCTCCCCTCTGAGAAGACCCTAGAGCTCTTGCTAGCTTAGACGTTCGTAATTAGCTAATAGAACTTCCCTAAGCTCAGGGACAACATCTACCTTACCACTGTACTAGTACCTAACTTGATTTCTGGCATATATAATAAATACAGTTCATACTTATTCTGTCACTGTCAGTCACTGTCCTCCCGTTGTTCATCGATTTGCTCGAGCGGGCCCAGTAACTTTTCCATTGGAGACTTTGTTGTTACTGTGTTTGGCGTATCGAATATGTCACAGGTAGCTTGCCAGGCTCTGCCGTGCGGGCAAGATACTCTCAGTAGCTTGCCGGGCTCTCTGCGAGGGGCGGAGGAATCGAACTCGGGTTGGCCATGTTGGCTGCATGCAAGGCAAATGCCCTACCGCTATGCTATATTAAATGATTTAAAACATATTTATTTTATCATCATGAGATTTATAGCTATTCTTTTTCTTATGTGTTGAACAAGCCAATTGCTATAAATACTAAAGTCTAAACACTTAATCTTCAGAAACCTCAGATATAGAGAAATGCCTCTGTAAAGATTTACTTGAATATATTTCTACTGTTACTTCTAATATAAATGCCTTTAAGATTCATTTTTATTTCACCTCATTCTCACTGAACTTAAGAAGTAGTTTGTCATTTTTGAGTTAGACTGTATCATCTTTAATTTAGCAAAGAGAAGATGCTCTATGAGGAAGAGACACCAAAGTCCCAAGAAACGGAGGAAGAAAACAAAGAATCCAGCAGCTCCAGCTCCGAGGAAGAGGAAGGTGAAGATGAGGCTTCTGAGTCTGAAACTGAGAAGGATGCAGGTAAAACAGAGATGTTCAGAGCGATGGTTCATCCCTTCCTTCCTTCCTTCCTTCCTTCCTTCCTTCCTTCCTTCCTCCCTCCCTCCCTCCCTCCCTCCCTCCTTCCCTCTCCCTTCCCCTCTTTTTCACTATCTTTTTGCTCTTTCTCTTTCTTTGTTTTTTTTTTGTTTCTGTTTTTATTGGAAGAAATTTAGAGCTATAGTTGGGGAGAGAAGAGAAAGAGAGACACAGAGAGACAGACAGACAGATGTAGTCAAAGGAGAGCACAGGCTTCTTTAGAATAGAAAAATCAAAGTACACATGTATGAGAAAGTCCACATCTCAAGCAGATGCAGGCCAAAGAGGCAAGGACAGGCTAAGAAAGTATATATCTCTTGGGCCGGGGCTCTACAGAAGGTGGGGCTTTTGCTTTGCATTTGGCCACCCTGGGTTTGTTCCTTGGCACCCCATAAAGACCCCTGAGCACTGCCAGGAGTGATCCCTGAGTATAGAGCCAGAAGGATGCCGTGAGCACCACTAAATGTGGCCCCCAAACCAATAAGTAAATAAATAAATCTAAAACCAGAAACTGCAACAAACTAAAAAGACAGAAAGCACACATCTCAAGAGGAGATGTGGACAAGTGCAACAAGACCCCTTGTTTCTGTAGTGGGAGGAGATCATTGCTTGTCAGAGAAGGTCTCCAATTATTCTTGAAAGAGCAATAAGTTTCATTTCCAAAGATTCCAGACCCCTGGAGAATTTGACTGTAAAAACTGGGAGCTTGTTAGAATGTGTTAACCAGTTCCTATATTGCTGCATGATAAGGCGCCCAAAGAATTTTTGTAGGAGGGAGCCAAGTTTTCTGACCTTGAAGTAGTAGGTGGTATAAAGACCAGATTCCAAAATTCTCTATATTAACAGTCAGAACAGGTGAGATTCTGCAGAGACAATTTTGGTCAAGTACATCTAGTCAGATGATGAAAATCTGCATTGTTTTTTGAACAGAATCTCTAACGTCTTTTTTAAAAAAAATATGTTCTTATTATCTTGAAGCTCCTTTTATTACTGAGTCAGAGATAGATGAAGAATTGAAGTTCTGTTTACTTTTACGGTTCCTACATGCAATATATACATCACATGGGGCCTTAAGTTATTACAGGGCAAGATGGTAGCCCCACTGTCTGAGAGTGAGATATTCAGTATGGTGACACCAACTATAAACTATCCCATAGTTATTTATTTTTTGGCAGTGCTCAGGACTTACTTCTGGCTCTGCACTGAGATCACTCCTGTGCTTGGGGGACCATATGGGGTGCCAGGGATAAAACCTGGGTCAGCCGTGTGCAAGGCAGATGCCCTACCTGCTGTGCTATCATTATGGTCCCAGTACAGTATCTCATAGATTTTGATATATTGTATGACAGTGCGAAAAGGAGTTCTGGATTTTACTGAATAAAGGTTCAGTACAGTTTCTCATGAATAATTGGGAATTCATGATAAATTAAGGCTTTAAAATGTTTGTCTTGCATTCACTGGCTTATTTTCTCTCTAGATTTGAGTCTATAAGAAATGAAACATTTTTTGACAGTATAGCAGATCTATTTTTTTTAAATTTTAATTTTTTTGTTTTAAATTTTTATTAGTGAAACACCATGAGGTACAGTTGTAGACTTACAAGTTTTTGTGCTTGGGTTTCAGTTATACAATGATCGAGTACCCATCCCTCCACCAGTGCCCATTCTCCACCACCACAGATCCCAGTATCCCTCCCTCCCTTCCATCACCCCCATCCCACCCCACCTCTGTGGCAGGGCAAGAAATGAAACATTTTTAACCAGAAGATTGTGTTAGAGGGGAGTGCACTAAGTTCATAATGGAGTCTGTGTTTTTCTCTGAACTCTGTCATGGCTGGCAACATACAATGAAGATATTTAGTTCTTTCTGTGCCTCTCCCCATATCCTATTGAGGTTGGTGTTGTTGGTATGGTCTCCCGCAGTTATAGGAGAATATTGCCTTTCTTCATGTCTAGATCTCTGAGGGTTATTGAGTGTTCATAATGGGATTAGATAACATTGGTTCTATAGAGAACCCAGGCAACAGCTAAGTTGTAGTACGAGAGGGAACCATTCTTTCATTGAAACTTGAATTTCTATGATTAAGTAGGGACAGTTTGCTCTGGAAATGCTGACATAGTAAAGCTATCAAAATATAGAAATATCTCTTTTAAAAATCCTTTCATTAATTACTTACATTCTCCAGTCTTCTTGTGTGGAATTCGTATTTGAACTTGCCGCATGCCAGATCACTTTGTTAGTTACCAAGTTTTGAAGAATTGAAGAGAGCTGCCTGAACTACTTTTAATTGCTTTATGACGTGCACCCATGCTTTGAGTCTCTTGTTCCACAAAGCCCATTGCTATTGGTGTAAGCTATCCATAGCACCTTATTTCCCATGATGCACCTTTGTTCAGAAATCTTTGATGACCACCTTCTCTGTCTTTGCCTTCAGAGTAAATCTCAAGTGCTCTAGCCTGACCTTCCAGTGCTCTCCATAGGTAATAACTTATGCTAGCCACATTGGCATAAACTCTGTATTCTCAAACATGTCTGAAACCTTTCCTGTCCTTAAATATTTCTTTGTGTTTTAGAATTAACTTCTATCAAATGCTTAGTTGAGAGATTTCTGCTAGAAGCAATGTGATCTAATTTACCGGATAGAAGTTTTTTTTTTTTAATTGAATCAGAGTGAGATAAAAAGTTACAAAGTTGTTCATAATTGGGTTTCAGTCATATAATGTTTAAACATCCATCCAGAAGAAGTCTTTCTTAAAGGTATTTTTATGTACAAGAAACTGAAAAGTAGTGGATCACTTCACGGTTCTACCACTCTGATTACTGTCCCCACATTTTCTCTGTCTCCAGTTCTGCATACTTATCTCTGTTGGAAAAGTCATCATTTTGGCTGGGAACTCAAGGTTTATCCTTGTACTCCAATCTCAATACAATATTTGGCATATGGAAAGCCCTTCATTTAGTAAATGCTTTTGGTTGTGTATTTCTTGGGAAAATACGGGATAGGAAAGACATATACACGTGACTAAAATACATTTCACATGAGAAATAAAAATGAAGTTCATGTTGTTCACTAGTAAAAATTACCTTGAAATTAAAGTATTAATTTGAATTAATACTCTTTATATGTTGAGTCCTTTTTATTGACTATGCACTGGAACATTTTATTTAATCCTTATACTCCCATTCTGAGATATATAGTGTTATTTCCACTTTTTAGAAATGCCCACAGCACTGTATGGGTTCAGGTTTTATAGCTGCTTATAGGTGTTTGTAGTGGCTTATCTGAAATCCTGACCTTGGATTCCTCAGAACAGCAGAGGAAGAGTGAAATTTGGAAATTTTCTTCCTAAGAAGTGAACGCTGAAGCTCTGTAAAGGATGAGCTGTCCCATGGAAGAGATTTCCCATCATAGAGGAAAGAGATACAAGGAGTCTTGGGCCACACAGATATTCAGGAAGTAGCACCGTAGCACTGCCCTCCCGTTGTTCATCATTTTGCTCGCGCGGGCCCAGTAATGTCTCCATTTTGAGACTTGTTGTTACTGTGTTTGGCATATCTAATACGTCACGGGTAGCTTGCCAGGCTTTGCCTTGTGGGCGAGATATTCTCAGTAGCTTGCCAGGCTCTCCAAGAAAGGTGGAGGAATCGAACCCGGCTCGGTCAGGCTGGCTGCATGCAAGGCAAATGCCCTACCTGCGGTGCTATTGCTCCAGCCTTGTTCAGGAAGTAAGTGTAAGAATTAGTGAAGTCATTGAAGAAGGTATGGTCAGAGAGGTAGAGTGTGGGGAAAGCTTGGGTGGGTATTTTTGCATCAGAAAACCAAGGCAGGAATGAGTGGGAGAATCAGCTAATTTCCACATCTCACAGTGTTCCTGTTGCTTTGAGGACTCTGGCGTCGGATTTCAGCCAGTGATAAGACGGCAGTGAGGCAGTGAGGCTCCGGCAGCCTCAAGTCCAGTTGAGATTTTACTCATGTGTCAGAGCCCAGCCCAAATTTCCTTTAGAATGTTTTACCGCCATAGGTACAAGTTCTTTTCCTTTCTCTGACTCTTCTAGCTATTTGAGCCATTTTGTATGCCTTATGCTGCTTAGTGCTAGTGTCATGTCTATGTTGTTTTTTCTTATCTCCCCTCATCACAGGCTGCAGAAGCACTGGAATACAATGTGCCTCTTATTCATCTCTTTGCCTTTCATAATATCTAGCAAAAGGGCCTTTGACCAGCTAGGTGAAAATAAATATGTGGAAATGTGGAAAAATGGGTCAGATTTAAACCTCAGCGGTGCCCACCATATATATGTGTGCTGAAAGAATGCTTGTTGAATACATGTATCATATTTTTAAAGATACACAATGCAACCTCATAGAATGAAATCTTTTATGTATGAATGTTGTTGTGACAATTACTAATTATATTTGGAGGTGAATGTTAGCAGTTTAACTTAGATTTCCTCTTTTTTTTTCCCATTTATTTTACTCAGTGACCAAAACATTTGGTGTATCAGTTACCTGCATGGCAGAGCCTGGCAAGTTCCCGTGGCATATTTGATATGCCAAAAACAGTAACAATGATGTGTTTCATTCCCCTGACCCTGAAAGAGCCTCCAATGCAGCACTGTTAGGAAGAAGGAGTAAGGAGAGGCTGCTAAAATCTTGGGGCTAGGCCGAATGCAGACGTTACTAGTGCCTGCTCAAGCAAATCGATGAATAACAGGCTAACAGTGATACAGTGATGTCAATTGCCTGTCACTGTCCTCCCGTTGTTCATCGATTTTCTCAAGCGGGCCCAGTAACGTCTCCATCGTGAGACTTTGTTGTTACTGTGTTTGGCATATCGAATACATCACGGGGAGTTTGCCAGGCTCTGCCATGCAGGCGAGATACTCTCGGTAGCTTGCCGGGCTCTCCGAGAGGGGCGGAGGAATCGAACTCGGGTTGGCCATGTTGGCTGCGTGCAAGGCAAACGCCTTACCCACTGTGCTATCACTCCAGCCCGTCAATTGCCTATTGCTACATTATAAGTCATCTTAAAATCAAGTGGGTACAGACAACAAGGGTATAGTTGTGTGAGTTGGCAATGGGAGGGGCCCAGCTTAATTGACTTTTCTCTCCCTCATTAGTGTAATACACATACAGCAGCAAATTCATGTGTTGAGTCAGTTGGTAAGATAGCTGAAAGACAGATGATCTTACTTAGATTTCTAACGTTTGGGAGGATGCTTGGTGCAAGGGGACCGTTTGCCTCTTGTTATCACAAGGTAGCTGGATTCCAGCATAATCAGGGAAGACCCAGTCCATAAGCTCTTTTCTAGTCTCAGCTTGTATTGCATTCATAGTGTTCCAGCAACCATAGAAAGTCACACAGCCAAGCCCAGAGTCAGTACGAGAGAAACCCCCTCAGGGTGTGGTTCACTGAGAGTTACAAGATAGATTTCTTATGGCTGGAGATACTCAGATAGTATTTAAAGAGTGTCATAAAGAGGAACTGGAGAGATCATAGAGGGGTTATGGTAGTTAATGCTGATCCCTGGTACCACATAGAACCCTGCATAAAAAGGTTCTTTGGGCACATTATATGTAATATGAAAGAAGTTTCTGGTCCTATATTTAGGAGTTAGAGGTAAAGCTGGCATACCAGGATAAGAATTCCATTGCGTTAATTTTCTTATGGCAGTGGGTGCAGAGAGTCATCTTAATTTGAGTAGAAGCATCACATGACATCAATAAGGACTGGGTTGACAAGGCATAAACTTTTTAGCAAAGGCATCCATACACATAAAGATAAAAAGTCTCATATTTATTTATTTTTTCATTGATGATTTTGGTCTTTTATTTATTTTTATTAGTGAATCACCATGAGGTACAGTTACAGACTTACAAACTTGTGTGCTTGCATTTCCGTCATTACAATGGTCAAGTGTCCATCCCTACACCAGGGCCTATTTTCCACCACCAATGGTACCAGCATCTCTCCCATCACCCCCACCCATCCCCCCCCACCCCTTTTGCTCTCTTTTTCCTTTCTGGTGTTGTGGCTTGCAATAGAGGTATTAAGTGACCATCATGTTTGGTCTGTAGTCTACTTTCAGCATGTGTCTCCCATCCTGAGCAGATCCTCCAAACGCCCTTTACTTGGTGGTCCCTTCTCTATCTCAACTGCATTTTCCCCCAGCATGTAAGGCCAACTTCTAAGCTGTGGAGTAATCCTCCTGGTACTTATTCCTACTATTCTTGGGTGTTAGTCTCCCATTCTATTACTTTGTATTCCACAAATGAGTGCAGTCTTTCTGTGTCTGTCCCTTTCTTTCTGAAAAGTCTCATATTTAGATTTGTACTTTTCTTGTCTTAATAGATAAGAAGTCAGAAGCCACTGTCAACCATTCCAGCTCTGAAAGCAGGAGGAGTGTGTCAGAGCAGACATCAACACCAGCTCAAAATACCTTCTCTGCCTCTTCTCGGAGAGTGAGTACTTGGAGTTTATTTGAACATAATGTCCCCTGATGCAGTGACACACAATGAAAACCTTAAAGAAACACTTCTGGGGCTGGAGAGATATTACAAGGAGTAAGACACTTGCCCTGCATGTGGCCAACTCTGACTCAATCTCCAGCATTGTATATGGTCAAATTCTTGCAAAACAATTAAGTTACATTTTCACTTGCACCAGCCTGCTCTGATGGCTGAACAAAATACCATAGATTGGGTAGGCATATGAGAAAGATACTTTTTGGAGGGGGTGGTTTTATGCCATACTGGGCAGTGCTCAGGGCTTAATCCTGGCTGTATGCTCAGGAATCCCTTCTGGTGATTTCTTCACTTTTGCTCTGGACAACATATGCAGTTCCAAGGATCAAACCTGACTTAGTTGCATGCAAGCCAAGCACCTTGATTGCTGAACTATAAAAAGATGCTTGAATCAAATCAACCGCAAAACTTCACTGGGTGTCTTTCAATAATAGAGAATGAGTTTTTCATAAGAACTCTGAGATCATGGGCCTAGCTTATCCGTATCTTGGTGAAGACTCTCTTGGCCTTGCGAGCAGCCTCCTCTCACTGTGCTTTCACACTGTGAGAGAATGAACTTCCATATTTGTTCCTCTTCTTCTAAGGGCAGCATCCCTACGAAGTCGGAGGCCACAGAATGACTTAATTTAACTTTCATCACCTCCACATATAGCCATTTTTGGAGATAGACTATGAATGTGGACAGGGAAGGCACACACAAGCATAGCATCTTTTACATTATCCACCAAAGCAATAGAACCATTCGTCGACAAGAAAATGTGCCTGAAAATAAGTGCAGATAACATAGGGTATAGTAGTCTGGGACCAAGAAATTTTGTCAATTGCCTGTTTTCTTCATATCTGAAGATAAGTATTTTCTTACTGGATTAGGAAGATACCACGCATCCAGGATTGTTTTGATGTTTACTCCCCTTCATGTTTAAATAAAGTCTTTACATTTTATGATAGAAAGCAGAGAGGCAAAGAACTTGTAGAAATACCAGCAGTACCTCCTCCTGTAACATTATTCAGGCCTCTTAAGAAGTTGTAGTTTTCTGTGCAAAGTTGAATGATGAGCCTGGCAGTGAAAAGTTTAAAATTGAGGTTTAAGTTGATCTGAGTTCTTTGGAAGGTAACTGTAGAAAAAGCCCTATGGTTTGAAAGATTTTAAGTTTGTGATCTAAGTGCCATGACTTAGAAAGACAAGCTTATGATGTCATTGTGGAAGAGAGCAAAGAGGACCTAGCAACTTATTTATTTCTACGAACACTGTTAGGAATTCATTACGAGCAAATACAGTGCAGCCATCACACACTAGCCAGGCTTTTAGTTACACCCAAACACTCCCAGGACTTCTAGGTATGAGGAAATGTTTTCATTTAAAGATTAAATACACACACACACACACACACACACACACACATTTATTTGTCTTTGTTGCAGTAATGTTGGGAAGGGCATTTGCCCCCCTCAGAAATGGGGCAGAGAATAAAGAGCTTATATGATTGAATTTCTAAAGCCAAGAGATCACTTGATCACTTGATATCCCGTTACTCATCGATTTGCTCAAGCGGGCACCAGTAATGTCTCCATTCGTCCCAGTCGCATGTTAGTGTAGCCCAGTGGCATCTGCTCGCTACAGGAACACGAAGAGCCTCAAACCGTTTGTTTAGGGTCTTGACAAAGAAGTCAGACCATCTCATAGGTGGGCGGCCACGTGTTCTTTTGACGTCACATGGAATCTAGTCAGTAACAGCTCTAGTCCAGCTGTCATCTTCAAATCGCATTACGTGTCCAGCCCATCTGATTTTTGATGCCTTGGCAAACGAGACAGCGTCCCTGATTCTCGATCGTCGATAGAGGTTGGAACTCTGGATTCCTTCTCTCACTTGAGTGAAGTGTTATATTCCAAGCATAGCTCTTTCAATTCCTCTTTGGGTGACCCGAATAGCGTTCTCATCCTGTTTTTGTAGGGCCTACAGGTCTCTGAGGCATATGTTAGTGCAAGGAGAACGGTGGAGTCAAAGAGGTGTGCCTGGAGCCGGAGTTTCTTTGTTCTCTTAGCTATTTCTTTGATGCTCTTGAAGGTGTTCCACGCTGCTCTCTCCCTCCTTCACAGCTCAGGTGCCAGGTCGTTCATCATGTTGAGTTCTCAACCTAGGTATACATAACTGCTGCATTTGGAGATGTTCATTCTGTTGAGAGAAAATGGAATGTCAGGAACTGGTCCATTTTTCATAAAAATTGTCTTTGTGAGATTCAGCTGCAGTCCGATCTTTCCACACTCACAGTTGAAGTTGGCCAGCATCTGTGCCACTTGGCTAATGTTTGGTGTTATTAGAACGATGTCATCAGCGTAGCAGAGGTGGAGTAGTTGCCGACTGTCTGTCTTCACTCCCATTTCTTCCCATCCCAGTCGTTGCATGATGTTCTCGAGGGTGGCACTGAAGAGTTTCAGTGAAATGGTATCACCCTGCCAAATCCCTCTCTTGACATCAATGATTACTTCCTTGTTGAATTGTGAGATCCTGGTGGTGAATCCGTAATACAGCTCACGGAGGATCCTAATGTACTGAGTTTGAACACCCTGTTTGGTTTGATTACCGCATTAGTCTCAATAGAATCAAAGGCCTTCTTTTAAATTGATGAATGTTAGACAGAGTGGCATCTTGAACTCCCAAGAAACTTCAATGATCTTGGTCACTGTGTGGATATAGTCAGTCGTGCTGAATCCTTTTCAGAACCCCGCTTGCTCACATGGTTGTCCTTCATCTAGTGTTCTGCCAATCCTATTCAGGATGTCTCGAGTGAACAGCTTGTAGACAATGGACAACAAGCAGATCGGGCGATAGCTGCCAATGTACTGGATGTCTCCTTTCTTGTACAATTGAATGGTCCTGCTGGTTTTCCATTGGGATGGAACCTTGCATTCAGACAGGTAGCATGTGAAGAGCCGAGCCAGTCTGTTGACGAGTACTGATGGCATATTCTTCAGGTGTTCAGGTCTGACTTTGTCTGGGCCGGGTGCTGTTCACTTCTTTACCAAGAAATGGCATGTCGGAAACCAAGAGAAATACATAAAAATTATGTACATTCAAGTGAATGAGTAAAGATGAAAATCAGAATGTGGGCTAGAGATAAGTGGTTTAATGTTTTTATTACATTTCTATTATCCAAGATAGTAAAAGTAGTCTGGTACCTGGTGAAAGACCAAAGCTTTCTTGCAGAGTCCGTTTCTCCCTCCCCCCCCTCCCCCTGCACACATGCCCCTCCCCCACTCCCACCCTAGCCCTCAGAAAGAGACTATTGATTGATGTTCTGTACATTAGTTAAACCACTGACTGGCCTTTGGGCTAATTCTAGTCTATAATGGTTTCCATGGCAAACTGAGCACATTAAAGACAATGCAAGTTTTCCCTACAACTTTTGTTTTCTGGTGTTAGGATTTTCTAATATTAACTTAAGTCAACTTGCCACTGCAAGTCTTATTATAGTACTCTAACTACTCTTAAAGGACCAGTTAAGCTCTTCATCACATATTGAGACCTGGAGAAGTGAAGTTATTTTTCAGTTACGCAGTGGATCAAGAAAAAAAAAATATGTTGTTAGAACTCAGGATCTTTTGGTCAGTCCACATTACATGAGGAAAGAAAATGGTGTTTAATTTTTCAGAGCCGCACTGCAAGATAGGAACATTGCACTAAGAATCTCAGGCTAAGGGAAAACAAGAGCGAGGAGAACTGGTCAGTGGTGGTTGGAATCCACCACAAAGTTTGTATGGGACAGAGGGTAGTAAGATAGAGAAGGGACCAGTATGACAATAATAGGTTGAAATGATAACTCTGGTCAAAAGTAGAAAAAGGGATATACACAACAACCTTCCAGTATCTGTAATTGCAAACCATAAATGCCCAAACCTGGGGATGGGGGGAGGGGAGGGGAGGGAGGGAGGGAGGGAGAGAGAGAGAGAGAGAGAGAGAGAGAGAGAGAGAGAGAGAGAGAGGAATGAGCTGCTGTAGAGACAGAGACAGGGTGGGGTGGGGGTGATGGGAGGGAAACTGGGAACTGGGAACACTGGTCCTGGAAAAGGTGCACTGGTGGAGGGCTGGATGTTGGAACACTGTATGACTGAAACCTAATCAGGAGCAGCTTTGTAAGGGTCTGTCTCATAGTGATTCAATTAAAAAAATTGAGGCTAGGGGCTGAAGAGATGGAAGAACAGGGAAGGCACTTGCCTAGCACGCAACTGACCTGGTTTTGATACCCGGCACCACGTATAGTCCCCTGAGTCCTGCCAGGAATGATCCCTGAGCACAGAGCTAGGAATAAGTCCTGAACATTGCCAGGGGTGGCCCTCAAACCAATAATAACAACAGTAATAATCATCTGAGGCTATTTCTGACTTAGGGAGAAAGGAAGCCTGACAGCTGTTGGTGTCTGCCAGGTGAGGAAGGGAACATTGGCAGGAAGCCTGCCATGTATTTCTCCTTGTATTGCCGTATGTTGCTTCACTGAACCTAAAATGCAGGAGAGGCAATGAGGCTGGAAAAAGAATCATGAGCATCTTTCTTGGATTTGTCCCTGCAGTACTCCTCCAGCCTTTTTAACAAGCCAGAAGAGCCCAAAGATGAATCTCCTTCTTCCTGGAGACTAGGTCTCAGAAAAACTGGCAGCCACAACACGCTGAGTGAGGCCGCCAATTCCAGAGAAGCTCTAAGGGACCGAGGCTCTTCCATCTACCGCTCATCATCAAGCCCTCGGATTTCTGCTCTGCTGGACAACAAAGACAAGGTACGGTGTGGGCTGGCACAGGGGAGTTCCAAGGTAGATTTTATTCATGAAAATTTAGTTTCAGAAACAAAACAAAATTTTTATAATTCTTGGTTTGTTCTACATGTAGAAAGCCAGCCTCCCTCCCTCCCTCCCTCCCTCCTTCCCTTTCTCCCTCCCTCCCTCCCTTTCTCCCTCCCTCCCTTTCTCCCTCCCTCCCTTTCTCCCTCCCTCCCTTTCTCCCTCCCTCCCTCCCTCCCTCCCTCCCTCCCTCCCTCCCTCCCTTCCTTCCTTCCTTCCTTCCTTCCTTCCTTCCTTCCCGGACAAGAATCAAACCCAGGGCCTCTTATATGCAAGACAAAAGCTCTACTACTGGGCTGTACACCTGATCCACTACCAGCTATTTAAAGGAAAATAGATATATTGATAATCAAATAATTATTTGCCCTCTATTGTTTGTTTGGCAGATGCCCCACAAAAAAGTCTTTTAAGAGGCCTTAGTTTATCCTTCCTCATACTCTTTGTGTAAGGCAAAGAGCACGAGCCAGCAACATGAAAGTCTAGAAATGGCTGTAATTTATTCTTTTGACAATTATGAGCAAAGTTCATTAGTGGGTAGTTAGTCCTAGTGAAACTACTTAGAAAAAATTTTAGTATCTTTTCTTTTGTTTAGTAGTAGTTGTGAGAGCAGTTTTAACTGCATGTAGAGCATATCTGCTCATTCTTTCAGGATGATGTAATTTTTCATTTTTTTCACTTTGGCTTCATATTTTATCGGCTTCTATTAATGCTCTTTTCTGGAATCAGGTCTTCCTTGCAATTTAGTACCCTTGCTTGATAAATGTGTTTCTTTAGACTTCTCAAGTGGACACAGTGTTTGGGTTGGATTAACCTCTGCCATGCCTATTCCTTATAAAGAAGCTTGCATTTCAAGGAAAAGTTAGGTGGGGCAAGAAATGATTAGGTTTTTTTGGCGGGGGGGGGGGTTGTTTTTCGTTTTGGGGCCACACCCGGCAATACTCAGGGGTTACTCCTGGTTCTGCACTCAGGAATTACTCCTGGCGGTGCTCAGGGGAACATGTGGGATGCCAGAGATGACCCTGGCCTACTGTACTGTCACTCCAACCCAAGATATGTTTTATTTTATTAAAATCTTGAGAGTGGCTTATGAGGCTCCCTCTCAACGGAGCCACTGCCTTATATATCTCTGTTGCTGTTTTATTTGATCAACCTGACTTCTCTGTGAAAACCATTCCCCTGATATTTTTTCCTCTTGTATGAAAGAAATGTTCAGAATTAGTCTGTGAAAGCTCTCCCTTTGTAATACCACTCAAATTGGAATTGCTATTGAATCTAGAAATAAGATTATCCAAGTATATTAAGTTCTGCTTTTTTACCCGAGGTGTTGCACAGCGTGTCAATATGGTACCTTCCCTATACTGAATGTGTTTTGATTTTACAGGAGAAAGAAAACAAAAGCTATTTTAGTTCACTAGGACCCCGAAGGCTGAACAGCACAAGTGACATTGAAGAGAAGGAGAACAGGTAATCCTAATGCAGACCCAAAGGCAGGTCCCTTTCACTCTGCTGGAATCTGACAGGGATCTGGCCCTTCCTGGGTCTCCCTCAGAGAACTAGTGAGGACTGTGGAATGACCTTAGCACCACAGTGGGAGCGGTGGTCCTTGTGTTTTTAGAACTCCACCCAGCAAAGCAAAACTCCCTTGCTTTGCCTGTTCTTTGCCCTTGGGATCTTAGTCCCGCCTAGTGATTGCTGTCTAAGGCCTTCCTCTCTGGCTCGACTCAGTCTGGGTTTCTTCCTTTATTTGAGGGGTTTGTACCACACATGGCCGTGATCAGGCATAACTCCTAACTCTGTGCTCAGGGATCCTTATTGGTGGGGATTGAGGGACTCTATGGGATGCTGGAGAATGAACCCAGCTCAGCCACACACAAGGTAAATGCGTCACCAGTTGTACCGTTGCTCCAGTATGTAAGGGTTTATTTTAGTCCACCAGAAAACTCTAAAGAGAGTTTTATGTCTGACTGGTTTCCCAGATGCTGCCACATGACAGACATGAAAATTGTTTAATTGTATCAATCTCACCCGGACAGCAGAGCCTGGCAAGCTCCCCATGACTATTCCATATGCCGAACACAGTAACAACAAAGTCTCCAATGGAGAAGTTACTGGGCCCGCTTGAGCAAATTGATGATCTACGGGAGGGCCTTTACTTTAAAATTTTAGGTGGATAAATTTTAAATCTTCTCAGTTCAAAATTAGTATACAGATTTTGAAGTACTACTGTTATCTCACAGCAGAACCTGATATAGAACTTTGCTTTTATTTTGGTGTGTGGGGGGGTCATATCTGGCGATGCTTAGGGGTTACTCCTGTCTCTGCACTCAGGAATTATTCTTAGCAGTCCCCTAGGGGACCATTTAGGATGCTGGAGATCAAACCTGCAGCTGCATGCAAGGCAAATACCTGATGTACATACTACTGCCCTGGCCCAAACATTGCTTTTCAAGGTGTGGTCCTGCAGCTGGTAGCATTGGTATCACCTAGGAGTCATTAGAAGTGCAGATTCACAAGCCCCACACCATATTTTTTTTTAATTTATTTTATAATGTATGTATATTTTTGCCTTTTGGGGTCACACCCAGCAATGTTCAGGGGTCACTTCTGGCTCTGTACTCAGGAATTACTCCTGGTGGTGCTTGAGGGACTATATGGGATGCCGGGCATCGAACCCGGGTCGGCCGCGTGCAAGGCAAATGCCCTACCCGCTGTGCTATTGCTCTGGCTGGAGCGATAGCACAGCGGTAGAGCGTTCGCCTTACAAGTGGCCAACATGGCCGACCTGAGTTCGATTCCTCCGCCCCTCTTGGAGAGCCCAGCAAGCTACCGAGAGTATTCGATATGCCAGACACAGTAACAACAAAGTCTCCAATGGAGACATTACTGGGCCCGCTCGAGCAAATTGACGATCAACGGGAGGGCCTTTACCTTTCTTTACCTATACCTTTACCTTATTTTATAAAGAAGTTCACAATACTTGATTACGTTTAATATCCGAACACCAATTCCACCACCATTACACCTTACCACCACCATATTTCGGGTGTTTCCATCCCAAACCCCAATCCCTACCCCAAAGCAGAACTGAAATAATGTATTTCCCTCTAAGGTTGGTTGCCTCCTACTTTGAGGGTTTTTTGGTTTTTTTTTTTTTTTTTTTTTTTTTGCTTTTTGGGTCACACCAGCAATGCACAGGGGTTACTTCTGCCTCATGCACTCAGGAACTACTCCTGCCAGTGCTTGGGAGACCATATGGGATGCTGGGAATCAAACCCGTATTAGCTGCGTGCAAGGCAAATGCCCTACTCACTGTGCTATCGCTTCAGCCCTGCCTCCTACTTTGAATCTCATCAAATGTGGTGCGGTACTCTTGGACTATGGATAGAGTGTGTGTGTCTTATGAAGTGTCCAGGAAAGGGTTCACTCTTAGGTGAGGCTCGGCCGGAGCGTGTGGAGAGCGGCCGTGAGCATGGCAGTGGTTGAGTTTTGGAGGTTTTTGGTTTCCAGGGCTGGGTCCGTTGGGGCAGGGAGGGGTCTTACCCGCCCCCCTCTGGGGTGCCCTGAGTGAAACAGCCTGGTGCGGGATCCGGCAGCATGGTTATGGTGAGCATTATTTTGCTCCCTTCTGGGAGAGAAGGACGTGTGATCTGGATGGTGGCCAAAGATGAGATTATTTGGCTTCAGCCCACCCACCCCATATTTTAATTCACATTAAGCAGTTCCCTAGGATTTGTGACTCAATTAGTTTTTTTTTTAAATGTGGGAGTACTGCTATTTATTCAGCCACTGATTAAGCTGATTCAAGTGGGCATGAACTCCACATTACTTTTATTTATTTATTTATTTATTTATTGCTTTTTGGGTTACACCTGGTGATGCACAGGGGTTACTCCTGGCTCATGCCCTCAGGAATTACTCCTGGCGGTGCTCATGGGACCATATGGGATGCTGGGAATCGAACCCGGGTCAGCCGCATGCAAGGCAAACGCCCTACCCACTGTACTATCACTCCAGCCCATCCACATTACTTTTTTAAAAATTTTTTTAAATTGAATATTCATGAGATAGACCATTACAAAGCTGTTCATAATTGGGGTTCAGTCACGCAATGATCCAGCACCCATCCCTCCACCAGTTACATTTCCCACAATCAATGTCCCCTGGTTTCCCTCCTCATCCCCCTCCAATACCCATGCCCCACCCCCAGCCTTCCTTTGTGGGAGGCACATTCCTTCTTGCTCTCTCTCTCCTTTTCCTTTTGTGCATTATGGTTTGCAATAGAGGTGCTAAGAGGTGATTAACAAACACAAACAGGTGTTTGTTCAGGACATTCAGTATTTTTATTAGGACAGGAAGGCTGGAGTAGTTTTTTAACTGGGTGGCACTTTGGGTTGTGAATGTGACTGCTGAGGCTTCCAGAAGTACAGGGAGGTGCCGGGAGGTAGTTCATCCCGACCTCGAGAAAGCTTGAAGCTTTCAGTCACAAAAACTGTATACCTGAATTTTCGGCAGATTATATCTTGGTGGGCTGGAGCGATAGCACAGCAGGTAGGGCATTTGCCTTGCGCACAGCCAGCCCAACCGAGCTGGGTTTGATTCCTCTGCCCTTCTCGGAGAGCTCGGCAAGCTACCTAGAGTATCTCGCCCGCACGGCAAAGCCTGGCAAGCTACCTGTGACATCTTCAATATGCCAAACACGGTAACAAGTCTCACAATGAAGACGTTACTGGGCCTGCTCGAGCAAATCGATAAACAATGGGAGGACAGTGCTGCAGTGCTATATCTTGGTGAGGTCCATCCCAAGACAGTGGAGTCTGGACAGGGGCATGGTGGTGATTTTGGATTGTGGAAGCAAGTGGCTGCTGGAGGCTCTGCTTGGGTGGGCACCAGGCTGACCCACCCCTCCGCTTCAATTTACCTTGGTCTTTTCAGCCTTGTATGGGTCCAAGATTAGCTGCGGCTTTTTATCTCTTTTGAGATTTATTTATGGGTCTCTGAAGCAAGTCTGGTAGAAGAGCTGACATAGTGGCACTGGAGCTGGTTCGTGGGGGTGACTGCCAGTGCTTCCCAGAGTATAGGAAAGTGGGGGGAGGTAGCCCATTCCCAACTCTGAGAAAGCCTGGAGATTTCAGTCACAAAACCCACATACCCGAATTTTCAGCAGATTTATCTTGGTGAGGTCCATCCTGAGATGGTGGAGGCCTGGGGTATGGCAGTGATTTTGGATTGTGGAAGCAAGTGGCTGCGGGGGGCTCTGCTTGGGTAGGCACTAGGCTGACATGACCCACCCCCCCACCCCCAGTCTGTTCAGTCTGTTCAGCCATGCGCTAGTCCAAGATTGACTGTGGCTTTTGATCTTTTTTGAGATTTATTTATGGGTCTCTGAAATAAGGCCGATAAATGAACCTGTATAGATGAGCAGGAGGTGGTTTGTGTGTGTGGTTCCCACATACCTAACTTCTGGCCATTTAATTTCTTGGTAAACTTGGTCCCCAGATTGCTGAGGTCTGGCCAAAGGCAGAGTGGCAATTTGGGGTAGCAGGAAGCCTGAAGGCCCCATCAGACTGCTGATGTACTTGCCCCGCAGGTACAGGTTGACCTACTGGTGGCACCATACCCCAGACTCAGTTAGTGGGTGGAGAGGTAGTGCTTGCAGTGACCTACATTTAATCCTTGGCACCGCATATGGTCTCTCAGCCACTGGGTGTGATCCAAAGAAGTAATCCCTGAGTTCTGTTGAGTGTGGTAAACAAGCAAACAAGCAGAGGATCAGAAGTGATGTCTTAGTGTTACAGACTTTTACGGTTTAGATACCTAACAAGTTGGCTTTAATATTTTTCTTTTTTTGTTTGGGAGACCTTGTCCTGGCAGTGGTTAGCAGCAGCTGTTGGTGTTGTGTGGAAAGAACCAAAAGAACCATGCACTTCCAGGGATCCAGCCCGGAGTCTTTCATGTATTCGAGGCATGCTTTCTATCTCTTGGAGACATCTTCCCAGTTTATACAGCAGTTGGCTTTGGAGTTGGTAAAAGAAAATCGATAGTAATACTCTTCCTCTGTATAGAAATCAGGTATATGAAACAGAGGATTACTTGAAAAATATGCCTTGGGGCTGGAGAGATAGGACAGCAGGTAGGGAGCTTGCCCTGCATGCAGCTGACCTGGGTTCAGTCCTCAGCACCCCATATGGTTCCCTGAGACCCTCCAGGAGTGATCCCTGAGTGCAGAACCAGGAACAAGCTTGAGCACTGCTGGCTGTGGTCTCCCAAAGAATCCCCTTCCAAAACAAACAAAAAAAGTAAATACATCTTATTGCTTTAACCCTTAACCATGTTACAGTTTTTCTTATTGACTCTTCTCTCCCAGTTTGCATTGTGTCAGGAAGATAAACTGATGATAACTGCTGCTGTTTGGTTTGGTTTTCTTCCATCCCTCCACAGAGAATCAGCTGTTAATCTGGTGAGGAGCGGCTCCTATAACCGGCAGCTGTGGCGGGATGAAGCGAAGGGAAAGGAAACTCCACAGACCGTCACTCCGTCCAGCTATGTATCAAGCTACTTGAAAAGGTACATGTTCAAAGGGATGGGAAATGATTTTCTTTCTCCCTGGCCCTGGGGATTGGGTAAATGCATGCTCGGTTATACCCAATTAGCACCACAAAAATGAATCAAAATGGAATTCCTTTTAGATTTCTTGGGGTTAATATATTGCTTGAATTTCAAATTGAAATATAGTTTTCTTAGCTGAATAAAGTGAGCTGATTCTAAATTCTCACGACAGATATGAATTTTCTACCCTCTCAGTCCTCATAACATCTTCACCTAAAAGTGACTTCTAATATTCTCTGAACAGGACTGAGTTTAACGCCCTGTGTCCAACTAGCTCTCCTCTTGTAGCTGTCTTCTCCCCACATTTTTTTTTTTTTGCGGGGAGGAAGGTTGGGGTTCCTGTAGAGTGGTGAGTGGGGTGGGAAATGGGAATAGAGTTGTATTACAGTGAAGTAGTTTTGTTTTGAGCCTGTTGTTAATTTAGGGACTTGAGTTTTGTGTTTTTTTTTTATGACTTTAATGGCCCTCAGATTCATCAAGATGTGAAACTCGCAAGTTTGGTGCAGAGAAGGTACTTGGGTTTCCTCCCTTTTCTCATCTGTATTCCTTTTCTGCAGTTATTTTCTTTGCCTTGTACCAGCCAGCAAATACAGCACCTTTGCCCAAGCCGTAAAGCTATAGAGTGTACTTCTTTCATATTTTAATTCAATCTTTGCTTCTGATGTGGAAGAATCTGATTCTGTCACTTACTGTGAATTCTCTCCTTCCAACTGTCTCTTTATGCTGTCATTAAACTTTTTGACAATTGATTGGCTACCCTTGAATCAAACTTGTCCATGATCTACATATTTGGGATCAAAACTTCATTTCTGCTTGCAAGGAGCAATGTAATTAGCTAATAAATATCAAAATACAGAAAAAAAATAGCCATTTTGCCTTTTAATGTACTTAGAAAGGACTCAACTTTGAGAACAAGTGAAGTTCAGTGATGACACAGAAGTTTTCTTATGCAAACCTGGTGGTTCTTTTATTAATAAGGCTTTCATCTGTCTTCAAGTCTTTAGTCTCTCTCTAAATACGCAAACGTTCCTTATGGTTGGACATAAGAATATGTTTCTAAGTAAACAGTGTTCTGTATCTAAAAAGTAGAGAAGTCTTCCAGTTAATTTTTAGGCATGTTGTTATTTTGTGAGGTTGTGATTTTTCATGATCCAAGTCATCCACATGTCAGCTGACAAATGCTGTTTGACCTAATTATGGCGAACAGAGTGTAAAGGAACTGCTTCAGTCTCAGTGGAGCATGCATAACATTTTTTGAGGAAAGAGCTGAAACTTGCTTCAAGTTTTGGTTTTGCAAAGCTGTTCTTCTCTCATCCTAATGTACTTTTTGATTTCACAAAATCTCACATTAATGATCTTTTGAAGAGAAATTTCTCATGGGCTGGAGAGAAAGTACAGGGATAAAACTCATACCTTCCATGTTCCAACCCTGATTTGATTCCTGATGCTAAATGGTCCCTTGAGCATTGCCCAATAAGGCCCTGGAGGCCCCTGAGCACTGCCATGGTTGTGGGCACAGTCCCCTGAAGCACGGGGCTGAGCAGCACGGCACCCTCGGACCCAAGAATTAAACTGCTGACTCAGAAGGCCTCAAGTCTCTGAGAAGGGTCCCTACACCTCCTGAGCACTGTTTGGGAGTCCCTCACTCCCTGAAGATTTTGAGATGAATTATATGCCATCACTACTAAAGAAAACAAAGCATGAATAGATATTTGTTATTTTTGCGTCATGCCAAACCTTGGCATACTTCCCATATCCCAGCTCATCATTTCCCTATAGGCAAAAGTTTCTTTCAAATAATCCAATAGAATGCTTCTTTTCAGAAGACACTTCAAAACTTCTTTTGGTAACAGCACTCCTCCTACCCTGACACAAAAACACCATATGTCTTATTAGTGTTATAGACAAGAAGTGTCTTATGCCCTAACCCTAATGATTTTTACTGCAATTCAGTTAGTTCTTATGTGTCCTTAGTTGAATCAAAAGATAAGAGTTGCTTTCTAATTCTCTCGCACATTTTTACTTTCTTGACTTAAGACATAAATCCTCCCAAAGATGATTTTTGCTTTGGATTAAATCATTGTACTTCTCAAAGTAATTTTTTTTCAGAATTTATTTTATACTCTTTTCTTTTCTTTCTCAATTTCAGTTCCCAAATCTTTCTAAATTCTTGATCTCACTTTAGCTGTTGCTACTTCTACATCAGATAGACATTTGAAGTTGCATGATTTTTTTGTTTTGCATCGGGCTTTACTGGGAATTATTTTTTATATTCAAATTACTCTGTTCCAAGCATTTTCCTTTCTTGGTCTCTACTCACGCATTCACTCTTTTGCTTTCTCTTGCTATGTACCATTGCTCCTTTCTCATATTCTTTCTCTCTTTTGAATGATTGACTCATGCCTGCTTGCTGACAGTGACCCAGCTCTAGCTGGATTTGATCACTCCACTTCCCAGTTGTCATACCCTCTCTTTGGGCTACATTTCTTGTAAGTGCACAATTTTGGTGGGAAGGTGGTGCTGGGAAGTGGTGGGTGGCACCATGTCCTGAAGAAAGTGACTGTGTGCTATTTTGCAGTGCTTCATTTGGTAGAAGTAGTGACCCCACAAGTCCCTACATTTCAGCCAATCGCAATTCATCTTCTGCTACCTCACCCATTACCATTGGTTCATCTACCTCTCAGGGCAGCGAGTGGCAACCTGCCTCTTCTTGCCCTGCACCAGTCAGTGCAAACACTACTGCATCTGTGCACCATGGCAGGTAAGGCTTCTTGGAGCCAGTATGAGTTACAGTCATCAAAGCTAATGCCTCTGGAAACACATGTGAATGCTAAAGCAAAGAGACTTTGTCACTTTGACATGGTAGACATAGCTTGAATTACTCTAAGATGTTTGTAACTTAGAGGGTATGCATTTGATTTGACTTGTGTTAGATAGTCATCAGTTGCTTGCTGATTAATTATGGGGTAATTATGGGGTAAGAAGCTGGATTTGCTTCTTAGGTATCAAGCTAAGATGATTGCTTTGATCTTGCAAGAATCTTGCCAACTGAGCTACAATTTAAGGGGCATACTATTACAAAACGTCACCTGTGATACATATCACTTACTAATTTTTCAGTAGTTATGATTAGGAAGAGTTTATATTGAGCCCTTTGGGAGGATGGCATAAAATCAAATCCAAAGGAAAATGAATTCTTGTTTCAAAAGCCTCCGGTAGCCTTTCTGAGATACCCAGCCAGTGAGAACGTTTTGTTGGAAATGGCAATATTTGTACTATTGTAGGTGCAGAGGAAGGAGAGACCTGTGTTGGTCTAAATTTTGTACTGGGCATCATTGTCTTGGTTTACTTACCGGTTCAACTCAGGAGTAGCACGGGGAAAGTGCTGCAGGAGGTTAGCTGGGATTTTAACCACGTGGGCGTTTCTGGTGGGGCTCAGGTGCTTCCACCCTGTGCTCAGGGGCCAGGACGTTACCTACCAGTGATACTCAGCCAGCTGGGCTTGTGGTTTAGTGCTCAGACTAGAGGATGCAGCACAGCTTGGCCCTTTCGATGCCCCGAGAGCCACTAGGGTCCCATACAGCGGTGCCAAGGGGCCATGCAGTGCTGGCATCAAGCAGGAAATCCTGTGCCCCTGACCCCAGCTAGCCCCCGCATCCCCTGTATGTTTTTTATAGGTTTCTCCTTATTTAATTTTTTTCTCCTTCCCCTCTCTTTATTGTTAGTGTTTTGAGAACCACGGTTGCACATGTTTGATTATGGGCACAGGGGATGGTCCATTTTTTATGGTGCTGAGGATTGCAAATGGCAGTGCCTCCAGGAGCACACTTAACATATGGGGGTGATGCCAGGAATTGAACTCATAGCCTGTTGTAAAGTTATTATTGTAAGAACACCACTGATAATGGTGCTTGATTAATAGTTGTCAGTGTATTAGATTACTTTCCCTAAATAAATGATCATGTATTTGACTAGGAGGGATAGACTTAGGATGGATAAAATATACTAATACCATGTAATTATATAGAAATATACTACATAACAGTCCAATTGATTATGCAGAAGGACAGGTTTTTGATATATTATCAATAATAATTCAGTGCAAGTGTATATAAATTTATTAAACCTTCATAGTAATCCATTAAGATAGGGTAGATATTACCCTCAAATGGAAGAGTGGTTATGTGATTGACTTTTAAGAGTTAAAACTGGGGGAAAGTATGGATAGCGCTCTCTCTCTCTCTCTCTCTCTCTCTCTCTCTCTCTGGCAATGCTTAGGGGTTATTCCTGGCTCTGCACTCGGGAATTACTTCTGGTGGACTCAAAAGATCATATAGGGTGCCAGGGATCAAACCTGGCTCAGCTGCATGCAAGACAAATGTCCCACCCACTGTACTGTTGCTCCAGTTCTTTGTTTTTTTTCTCTCTCTTTTAAGAAAGTCCAGATTTTGGTTTTGTTTGTTTGTTTTGGGGCCACATCAGGCAATGCTCAAGACTTACTCCTGGCTCTGCACTCAATAATCACTCCTGGTGAAGCTTGTTGGGGGGACCACATGGGATGCCAAGGATTGAACCCAGGTCAGCCGTGTGCAAGGCAACCTCTCCTATCTCTCCAGCCCCCAAAAGTCCAGATTTAGGCAGACCAGATACACAGTTCAAAAGCATTAAAGGATACAGACTCCTTTTGCTTTTCTGCTCATAATGTTCATTCCTTAGGTTTCTTTGGTTACATAATAGCTGCTGAAGCATTGGCCATGGTGGCTGCATTCATGGCAGGAAAGAAGAGGAAAGGGGGGAAGTGCACAGAGGGAATTTGAGCTGAGAGTTTTCTCAAAAGCACTGATCTTCTTCTTATATATTCCTGGCTACCACTAATCAGCCAGGAAGACTTTGGAAAGTGTGGATTTTATTTTATTTTTTATTTATCATTATTATTATTATTATTATTGCTTTTTGGATCACACCTGGCTATGCTCAGGGATTACTCCTGACTCTGCACTTAGAAATTACTACTGGTGGTGCTTGGGGGACCATATGGGATGCTGGGAATCGAACCCAGGTCGGCTGCGTGCAAGGCAAATGCCCTACCCACTGTGCTATCGTTCCAGCCCCTGATTTTATTTTTTATTGCACAGTGGGTAGCACTGTCCTCCCGTTGTTCATTGATTTGCTCGAGCAGGTCCAGTAATGTCTCCATTATGAGACTTGTTGTTACTGTGTTTGGCATATCGAATGCGTCACAGGGAGCTTGCCAGGCCTTGCTGTGCAGACGAAATACTCTCGGTAGCTTGCCAGGCTCTCCGAGAGGGGCAGAGGAATTGAACCTGGCTCAGCCAGGACAGCGGCTTGCAAGGCAAACGCTCTACCACTGTGCTATTTTTTATTAGAAAATGTTATTCGGAGTCACTCCTAGCAGCGCTTGGAGGACCATCCCATGCTGGGGATTGAATAGGATTTGACTCATGCAAAGTGCCTTAACCCCTGTACTATCTCTCCAGTCCAGAGATTTTAATTTTTTCAAATAGGTAAATCACTGTCCTCAGTGTAGCTGGGGTTTGTTAGGAGGGTAGAGAATGAGATTGAGTATTAATTAGACAGCTAACTATCTCAGCATGCATACATACTATCCAGTTTCATGAAGAGCCTTCCGGTGTATGAATTGGACTTTAATTTTGTAGGTGAAGAAATTGAGATCAAAAGCTTAATCATTTTCCCCAAAGTCACACAGCTGGTATAGAACCACGGAAAGCCAGAACCTAGATTTGTCTATGTAAAGCTCTTGTCTGTTTCATTATTTTATTGCCACTGTGTTCATATGTTATTCTTGGCATTTAGTCTGCATTCTACGTACAGTATTTTACCTGTCACCCTGAATTTTAAGTGTTATTGTCCCCATTTTACAAAACAAAATACAGATCAGAGGGGTAAAACTCGCTTATTCTTAGCTTCAACTGTTTCTGAAGACTCTAAGCCTAATTCTGGAAACTTTTCTCCAGTATTCTGCTTCTAACAGTCTACTTACAAAACCATACTTCAGGGTAATAGTAAAAGTCCTCTTATGTAATTTAATAAAATAAAATCCCTGGCATACGATTATGATCACGATCACGACCATCCTGTTGTTTGTCGATTGCCTCGAGCAGGCCCCAGTAACGTCTCCTTCGTCCTAGCTCTGAGATTCTAAAAAGTGCCACATTCAAGGCTCTTTCAGGGTTAGGAGAATGAGACCCATCATTGTTACTGGTATTTGGCATATTGGGTACGCCACGGGGAGTTTGCCAGACTCTGCCGTGTGGGCAGGTTACATTCGGTAGTCTGCCAGTTTGTCCAAAGTAGGAATGAAATAATAAGATGTCGCACGGCCACGACACACCCTGGCATACAGAGATCAAAATATGTTATTAACCAAAAAAATATTTTTGGGTAAGATTTTGGTGTATTTTTTTGTAGTTTGTTTCTGGCTAATTTTATTAGGACCCAGAGACTCATATATCTTGCATGTCTTGGGATTCACTTACCTTCGTTTTTTAAAATTAAATAGTGAGAGGCTGGAGCAATAGCACAGCAGGTAGGGCGTTTGCCTTGCACGCAGCCAACATGGCCGACACAGGTTTGATTCCCAGCATCCCAAATGGAACTCTGAGCACCGCCAGGAGTGATTCCTGAGTGCATGAGCCAGGAGTAACCCCTGAGCATCGCCGGGTGTGACCCAAAAAGCAAAAAAAAAAAAAAAATTAAAGAGTGAGTGGTCATTCTTTCCATGAAAGTCATTCTTTAATGAATTAAAATTTATATGAGAGTGAGTCATTTTTATGTGAGTCATTAATTGCTCCTAGAGTAGTGATTGTATTTTTTAAATCACACTTCAAACTGTTCTACTTGTATATTTGCTTCTAGGTACCATATATAGACTTGTATGATCTGGTTATTTCTTGCTGCTTCTGACAATACTATTATTTGGAAGTGACCTTATGATTAATTGTAAAAAATTGTGAATATGTGGAAAACCCAGATTTCCAGCAGTTACTATTTTCATTGCCTCTCCCATCTCCGCAAGCATCAATTTTGGATCTCTGTTACCCCAGCAACAAACTGTGACGTCACGAGCGATAGCATTTTGGGTGGAGAGCCAATGGTTGTACTCAGGTCTGTGTTAAGAAACAAAGATCTTGTTTTCATGTAAAGGAGTCTGATCATCCACTAATTATTCAGCTTGCTGTCAGGAAGCCTGTGATTAAGCTTGGATATAGAAGTCTGCGAGTTTTCATTTTTGTAGTTAGGAGTATAGACAATTCTTAAATGAAAAACCATTGCTGAGCTAGGTGAAGGAGAATCAGACAGACTGAGGCTGCACGCTTTTTATCAAATGTTTCTGGATAATCCAAGAAGATGGACATCCAGTCTAGGCTGAGGACTACTTGAGAGCCTCAGAATTAAGGGGCAGGTGAAATCCAGTACGGTAAGTAACTTTAGTGTTGTTTTCATGTGTGGAGAGCCTTGTCTCTGTGTGCATGCATGGAGACCAGATGGTATTTCAAAGTCACTTAAAGAACTCTCACATATGTCACTAGTAAATTTGCTTTGTGTAACAGCTTTTATTTGATTAAAAAAAAATTCCAGGGAAAAATAAATTCCTTGTAAATGTACCTCTTAAGCCAGAGTATGTTAGATTGAATTCTGAATCAGACTAGTCTATAAATTAAGGGCTCTTTTTTTTAAAAAAATAAATAAATACAAAACAGAACCTGCTAGAGAGAGAACTCAAAGGACCGAGTTCATTTTTCCCATGCCAGAGACTCGGCTTCAGTCCCCATGTTCTACCTGGCTCCCTGAACCCTGCCAAGTGCAACCCCTGAGTCCCAGCTGTCAAGCCCACCCCAAATAAGAATAAAAAACCCAAACCAACAAATTTCGAATAAGAGAATGCTCCAGTTAAATTTCTCCTGAGCGGTCTGTCTCTGCAATAGTGCTTTGTGGTATAGCTTGCCTGATCGTTCTCCTTCCTCTATCTGCCCCACCCCCCTTTCAGGACTCCTTACAAATCTCAGGCTGACTCAACTGCAGAGAAAACAGCAGACAATGTGTCTTCGAGCACCCCGCTCTGTGTGATCACCAACCGCCCTTCACCCAGCACTGCCAATGGGGTCACCACTGCCACTGCGCTCTCCACGCCTGGGACGGATTCTGTGGAGGCCAGGGAGAGGAGGAGGTAGGTTCTCTGCTGATTCCATTGTCTGGTTTTGCTTTCAGGGTAGCAAAAAAAAAAAAGACGTGAAGTCTTTTCCTCGATCGCAAGTAAATTGCTGGAAAATGTCTTTACTCTTACAGTTTTGTATTTTTGGCAGAAATCTTCATTGCTCCTGATTATTTTGACATAGACATAAGATTACCTTGTGGATAGAGGCAAGGACATACATTACCATAGGGATATAGCTCTTTTCTCTTTGTCTTTTGTCAGGCATTTCTGAGGCACGTTTCCCATCAGACTCTATTTGAATAAAATGACCGAAGGATATTCATTTTGTTCTTGGTGGTCCATGGCTTTTCTCGCAGCAAAGAAAAGCAGTAGTATGACAAAAAGTGCAGAGCACTAGAAGGAGGCAACCCATTTTAATTGCTCTGAGAATTCTAGAATCATAGAGGATGGTATGGTAGAGGACAGTGACGGGCTGTTCTGCAGTGTCTGTGTAGGGAGATTGCGAGAGAGCACTCAGGACTTGAGAAAGAAGAGGCTCAAGGTAGAATCTTAAGAAGTTTGGTTTTTTTCAATCATCAGTGTTAAAATTCTCGGGAGATGTGATCAAGCCAAACAGACCTTTTAATTTTTTTTTCTCCTGCTTGAAAAATAGAGTAAATAGGATAGAAAAATAGACTGTACTTCACTTGGGCGTTTTCAGTTTGTTTTAAAACCAGGACTGCTGAAACTTTGTGATGTGTCAAGTTGCCAGGCTGGATGGTGGGGAAGGGAGAGTTGGGAGTGGGGAGGGAATATGGGAGCACTGATGGAGGGAGTTGACGCTGCTGCTGGGACTGGTGTGGAAATAGTGCAGGCCTAAAACTCCAATAACTTTGTAAATCACAGCTCTTCAATTTAAAGAAGAAAGAAAGAAACCAGGGCTATCATTATCCTTCCCCTTGCCCCACTTTTTTTTTTTTTCAACAGTGTTTTTGAGCCTCATGCTGGTGCTCAGGGACTATTCCTTGAACAGTAATAATATATCACAATAAATCTGCAAGATGCAATGAGTCAAACCTTTTAGATCTTTGTTTATTGGAATACTAGCTCTAGAACTTACGTTTTGTGAAGAAATTGAAGGGAAATGTTGTCAGTTGAAAATAGAATTTTTCCCCTTTCTTTTTTCCCTTCCTTTTCCCTCTTTTTTAATCCCCTACCTTCTCTCTCTCTTTCTTTCTCTATCTCTTTCTTTGGGGGAAGGGGTTCTTGGACCATCCCTTGATGTGTTTAGGGCATACTCCTGGCTTTGTGCTCAGGAATCAGTCCTGGGGGATCATATATAGTGACAGAAATCAAATCAGCCTCATGCAAGGCAAGCACCCTACCCCCTATACTATATACTATCTCTCCAGCTCTCTTTTTTTATTTCTTTACCTAAGCATGGGGGAGAGGGGAACCCAACTGATATCTGGGCAAACAGATCACAGAAACATTAGTTGTCATTAGTTATCACACCTCTTTTTTTTTTTAATTAGCACTGTAGTGCTGTCTTCTTCTTGTTCATCGATTTGCTCAAGCGGACCCAATAACGTCTCCATTGTGAGACTTGTTGTTACTGTGTCTGGCATATCGGATACATCACGGGTAGCTTGCCAGGCTTTGCCGTGTGGGCAAGACACTCTCGGTGGCTTGCAAAAATTTAAATTTATAACACTGTGATTTACCAGGTTGTTCATAATGCAGTTGTTTCAGGCATTCACTATTCCAACATCAAATTGTCACACTCTTTTAATTGGCTGTTACCCAAGAAAAAATTTTAAAATTCATCTTGAGTAAATATGTTAATGATAATGCATTTAATTGCTCATGAGCTATTTAGATTGTATTGGTTTTATCTAAAAACTAAATGTAAAAGTAATCTTCTCATTAGCTGAAAATATGCCTTTTGAAAAATCCTTCGCTCTGTGCTAAGCAAGAAAAGTAAAATGAAATTTATCGCTAAGAGGTCCAGGAGTGTGACTCAGTGGGAGAACATGACCTGGTGGTCCTGGTTACACACCCAGTACCACATGCAGGCACACAGCACCCCAGAATGTGGCCCCTATAAAAAAAGAATTTAAATAAGTTTATTATTAAGATTATGATCCCTGAAAGGATCAATAACTCAGGTAAGTCATTCTTTATCAGACTGTATTATTATATGTGTTATTTTATATATTTCATGAATCATTAGAGAATACTATGGAGGCATTTACTATGGAGGAATTTTAGAACCCATGGTTAATAAGATGTCACTTTTTATAGATTTTGATTTGAAGCTTTGAAGTTTGATTTATTCCACAAATGTTTATTGAGTACCTGCTATTCACCACATACTTTATAAGGAGGCCCTATTTTCTCAGGGGACAGCAATAAATGAAGGTATTAAATCAGGATATTAATCACAATGTGAGAGTTGTTTATCAGGATACGTGCCCTTGGGGAGTGGCACAAGATAAATAGGGTGATGTTAAATATTTATTAGATGATTAAATAAGGAGATGGCACAAGATATCAAAGAGCTGTTGGACTTACTTACTTGCTCTGTACTATGATAAGCCCAGATCATTCACCAGGCAAATACAGTCGCAGTTCTTGGAGAGTGAAGATGAAAAACAGAAAACCTCTGCTAGTGAAGGTGACAAACAGAAAATCAATAATTATACTTGTGATGTATGCTAGGTGATATACATACATATGTTTATGTGTATATGTGTGTGTGTGTGTGTATCTCCTGATGTATGCATTATGATCCTGTATTCCAGGATACTTCTGTAACGTCCCTTCCTTCTAGGAAATCACTAAGAGGGTGATGCTAAAACTGAGATCCGTAGAACAAATGACTTAGTTAAAGAGTGTGAGTGTTCCAGGCATAACATATGGCAATTAAAAATACACTGTGAAGGAAAGTTGTTTGATACTTTGGAGAAACTGAAAGATGGTCTTGTGGTTTCCATATTGAAGGTTAGGGAGAGTAGTTTACGAGGCTTGTGAAATAGGTAGGAGCCGTGTAATGCAGGGTCTGACAGTCAATGATAAGGCTTTTGAATTTATATGCTAAGTTATATATAATGATGATCCATTGATAAATATTCTGGTACTATCTTTATAAGGGCTGGAGCGATAGCACAGCGGGTAGGGTGTCTGCCTTGCACGCAGCCAACATGGCCGACCCGAGTTCGATTCCTCCGCCCCTCTCAGAGAGCCCGGCAAGCTACCGAGAGTATTCGATATGCCAGACACAGTAACAACAAAGTCTCCAATGGAGACGTTACTGGGCCCGCTCGAGCAAATCGACGATCAACGGGAGGGCCTTTACCTTTACCTTTTATCTTTATAAAGCTGTATGTCATATAATTCACACATATTTATTTGGGGGTGGGTGCCTCATCCAGCAGCGCTCAGGGGTTACTCCAGTCTCAGTTCTCAGGAGTTACTCCTGGCAGTGCTCAGGGGAGCCATATAGGATGGTGGAGATTGTAACCCAGGTCAGCCACGTGCACATCTATTGTACTATTGCTATAAAGTGTAAAATTCAGTAAGTTTTTTTCTTAAGTCTCCCTGACAGTGCTCAGGGATGCTGGGGGCCATTTCCAAATGCTTGTTGGATTCAGTGTTTGGACCTGGCAATGCTGGCTGTGCTTAGGGCCCCATGTGGTAGTGGGGCTCAAGCTCAGAGATGGGCATGTACTCCAGCTACTGAACTATCTCTCCAGCCCTACAGTTCAGTCACTATCACTGTCACTGTCCTCCCGTTGTTCATCGATTTGCTCGAGCGGGCCCAGTAACGTCTCCATTGGAGACTTTGTTGTTATTGTGTTTGGCATATCGAATACATCACGGGTACTTGCCAGGCTCTGCCATGCGGGCGAGATACTCTCAGTAGCTTGCAGGGCTCTCCGAGAGGGGCGGAGGAATCGAACTCGGGTCGGCCATGTTGGCTGCGTGCAAGGCAAATGCCCTACCGCTGTGCTATTGCTCCAGCCCTACAATGTGAGTGGTCGCAAGGTTAACCTAAAGTCAACCTACAATTCAATAGTTTTTAGTATTTCCAGATATGTAAGACTGTTAGCAAAGGTCAGTTTTAGATAATCTCATCACCTTAAAAAGAAATTCCATATCTTTTAGTTGCCTTCTTTCCCATCTTTCCATTTCCCCTTAGACCTAATCAGCCATGATCTTTCTGTCTCCGTAGAGGTGCCAATTCTGGACATGGTTGGTGAATGAAACCAGCATGTGGCATTTCACAACTGGCTCTTTGTCTTAGTATAATTTTGTCATGGTTCACTCATGCATGTCGTAGCGTATGTCAGTACTTTATTCTTTTTCATGACCAAAAGCTATTTTGTTGTGTGGACATCACTCATTTTGTTTGCCATTCTTAAATTGGTGGACTTTTGAGTTTTTTCCCCACCTTTTGACTATGATGAGTAACATTACTATACACATTTGCATACCAGTTTTAGTGTAGAAATGTTTCTCTCTAAGTGAACATATCTATTTCTCTTGTTTTCTATGTATGTACCGAGAGTAGAATTGTTGGGCCATGTGCCACTTGTTTGTTTTTTTTTTTTTTCTTGCATGCTTGGACCACATTCAACTGTGCTAGAGGCTTACTCCTGGCTCTGTGCTCAGGGGTCACTCCTGGCAGTACTCAGTGGAACATATGTGGTTCTGGGGATTGAACTAATGATATCCACTCACAAGGCCAACTTTCCAAGTTACAAGAGAGCAGTACCTTACCCTCCATGCTCTCTCACTAGCTCACCTCTGGAGGTTTTTTTTTTTTCTTTTTGGGTCACACCCAGAGATGTACAGGGGTTACTCCTGGCTCTGCACTCAGGAATTACTCCTGGTGGTGCTCAGGGGACCATATGGGATGCTGGGAATCGAACCCGGGTCGGCTGCATGCAAGGCAAACGCCCTACCCGCTGTGCTATCGCTCCAGCCCCACCTCTGGAAGTTTTTAATCACAAGGTCTGAATTACTTAATT